AAAGAATCTGGCTATAAGTTTCTTTAAATGTTTTCCAAATTATTGACAAATTAAGACTTAATTTTCATTTATAACCAGTGCAAGAAAGTTTGCTTGAGCACAAAATCCATGCTTAAGCATGAGAACTGTTTCGGGAATACGGGTAACCGTTCTCATGCTCACCATGGATTCTGTGCTCAAACCAGCTTTCTTCTTACTTCTCACTTAAATCACGTCAAACGATCAAAATGTCAATTTTGAACATTAATGCTTGTATTTGGCACTATGTCTCTTCATTTTTTCCAAAATCATTGACAAAAATAAGAGTTTTTTTCATTAGTTTATAACCGGAACAAGAAATTAGACTTGAGCACAAAACCCATGTTTGAGCATGAGAACGGTTTCTTGAATACGGGCCTATATGCGGACGGGTGCATGTGAACGGTAAAACCAGACGCATCTCTGCCAAAAGCCTGAACGTTTTACAGAAACAATACAACACACATGAAAACCTTCAAAATTTTAATATAATATGCAACATTATATGTTAATTAAAAAAAGGTTTTAATTACGGTGTATACATTTATATATCTGTGTCAATATAATAATAGTCAGGTTTCGAACCGTCTTTCCGGATAGTTGGTTTTCTCAATAGACACTGCCTTTCCCCGAACGATTGTTAAGCACTCGGAATGCTTAATTGTTTATCGCGAGATTGATTTTGTGCATAGTGCAGACTTTTTGGTATATATGCTGTACACACAAGTAATCCGGATTATTTAGGATTGGGCTAGATAATAGATTGGTCTATTGATGTATAGTGCACTCTGATTTAATTGCTTATGCAAAGAGTGCTTTTCGGTATTTGCTCCATGCATCCATTGCTTTTTTTTTTTTTTTTATCTATTCCAACATATATAATTATGGCTAAAGAGCAACACTTCTATCGTTCAAAATGTGTGTTATTTTTACTTACAACAGCAATATTATTTTTTTATGAATGGCGCAAACATTTTATTGTCGATGTGCAATGGTGCGCCAATCCGGTTGAGCCAGAGTGTTCTACAGACTCATCTGCACGTAGTCTCTCAAATAGTGATGCTAAAAAGGTCATGTCGAGAAATTCTCTACTCGTCGGTAACATTTCAATACATCACCTGTTCTTAAATCGAGAATAGTTCTCGAATTTCAAATGTCAAAAAACATGGTTGCAGACGGTTATTTAATAGATGACTATTTACTATGGAACTAAGCGTACAACGTCATCAAAATATGTTCTCATTTTTCTGTCTATCACTTGATAGACTGTAAACACAAACCAATTAAAACATGTTACAATCAATTTAAAATTTCCTTAAATAAACAAATCAATATAATTCACAATGACATTTCATGACATTGCAAATGTATATATAAAATTTCAAATGCATTTCGACAATTTTAACACTTTTTATATACATATACATAATCGATTATTTTTATAATAGGCACAATATTATCACAGATTGAACGAATCTTGCTCAAAGCATTATAATGTTACCAAAAATAACTAGAACTGTAAGCCAAATGCAAACGAATACCCCTATCTGCTATATAAACCAGAACTGTAAGCTAAATGCTTACTAAAGCAAAGCATTGCAAAGCAATCCATAGTCTCCCACCAGTAATGATTTCTTTATTGACTGAGCTGTACACTTATTTAAGTATACTGGTCACTGACATACTTCCTGTACTCCCTCCTCTTGCCAAAACATACTTACATACCAAATCTTGTTAGCCTAGATGAACTAGTTTTGCTAACATTGTCCTATTAGTTAAGAAAAAGATGCCAGGACAAAAATATTTAACAAAGAGCCATAACTCCTTCAAAAGGGTTGAAATGAAAATAATACTAGCCTGATGTACGACAGCAGGGGGTAATTACAATATCTGTAAACTTTCATTGAAATTGGCCCAGTAGTTCATGAGGCAGACAAAGGTTTATTCAACAAAGGGCCATAACTCCATTTAAAAGGGTTGGAATGAAAAGGTAAAACTTGGATGCACAACCACAGGGGGCAGTTAACATAATTAAATCTTAAAAGTTTACTTTTTTAGTGCTGCAAACTCAAATCTTAAACGAAGACGGTACATTTTACAGAAGTTAAGAGGCATTTATCTAAATTCATTAAAAACAGTTTAGAAAAAAATCAGTGCTTTAAAACTAGCAAACATTTTGCCGGTATTGATTCAAAATGCGTATTTCATGTTTTATAATTCTTAAATCACCCTGCATCCTGATATACAGGTCATCACACACAAGGTCGTCCTGATGTGATATAAACTAAAGTTACTGAAGGGGGACAAATCTTTAAATCACTAAATAAATTACATTGTTAGCGTTAAATTATGTAATGGAAATTAAAAATAGATTAAAAACGAAGCACAATCAAAACTTTACTTCAAATTTTTGAAGAATGGCAAGAGTAACACGCAGACCATCGACAAAGCAAAATGATAGATTAGACGTTCCGGAAGGCTTAGCGTTTTCTGTTTCATCGACGATACCCGCCACTAAAATAAAGGTAAAATCTGCCTAATGACATGTTCTTATAGACTGTTCCAGGTTAATGACAACAAAACCGAATGGATCACAAATAAGCATTTGCAAAAAAAGAAGATATTCATTTGCACGAGGAAATACAGTTTTCCCCGTAATATTAGGACAATATGCAGGCGCGTAGCTACCATGTAAGCCAATAAGCCCGGGCTTGCACATAATTTTGACAAGTATAGGTTTTCATGACGGTTTTTTTTCTTGCTGATACTATAAAGTGGAGTTTAAGTTTTGAATATAAAGTATACAAATGTAATTCCTCAGATATAATACATTGTTAATAGCGGAGACGTAAAATACATACGTCTCTGTTAATANTTTTTTTTCTTGCTGATACTATAAAGTGGAGTTTAAGTTTTGAATATATAGTATACAAATGTAATTCCTCAGATATGATACATTGTTAATAGCGGAGACGTAAAATACATACGTCTCTGTTAATAGTTAGTACAAAAATGTATGAAGTTTAGAAATGTCCATTGCATTAATGGACAGTTCCAGGCGGAACTAAACTGCTCGATTGAGTAAATTGAGAAACTCACGCCCAGCGCAAAGGCACAATGAACACAGACAATCAATGTTTTTTTCGGTAATAATCCAGAACAACGCTATCAAGATAGAGATTACATTATCTTACAGAAGAAATTATCTGCATCCAGCAACAAAATTAATAAATCGTTGACTTGTGAGTCAACCGACTATACATTTTTGTTTTTGTATTCAATGTTTTGTATTCAGCATTCCTGCAGCAAGTTAACTGTAACCTAATGGAAGCTGCCAAGGAAAGTGAGGTTGTTGTTAATGTGTTGCAACATGAGAGGGAGGACCCGGCAGTGTGGGATGCACTTTTTCAAAAGGCATCAGATCTGGCAGAAACATTTGACGTCCAACCGTCTATGCCCAGAATGGCTGGCAGACAGAGGAACAGGGCAAATGTTCCTGCCGACAATCCAAATGAGTATTGGAAACGGTCCCTGTACTTACCCTTCCTTGACCATTTGGTTCAAGATTTGACCGGCAGACTGCTTGGTTGGGAGATGCAGGACAGATTCCTTGCCCAGTATCACGTGCCCACATGTCACGGCATTTATTCTCCATCTTCAGGGTCGTGAGATATTTGAAGAGGAGATTTGGCGATGGACTGTGAGATGGAACATTCCAAACACCATCAAATCTGCTTCTTTGCAGGAAACGCTTCCACTAACTAACAGCGAGCTGTACCCTTGAGTCTGAACGATGCTCGCAATACTGGTAACCATGCCAGTCTCCACATCGTCAGCAGAGCGTTCATTCAGTTCCCTCCGCAGAGTGAAGACGCACCTACGTTGCACAATGGGACAGGAGCGTCTTTCGTCATTGTCAATTCTCCATACTCACCGAGATATGCCAATTGACATTGATGCTATGATAGAGGAGTTCCTTGCTGCCAAACGTAGGAAAGGACACTTTGGAATCTAAATAAATGACGAAAACTGTCTTCTGGAGCCTGCCCAATTACAACACAACAGAATTTTAAAAAAAATCACGGTGCTTTGTATTTTTTTACTTTGTCAGATTGCGCATAATAATGGACGTATATAAAACTAAACTTTAATTTTCTTCCATGTCCACAAAATGTTTATGAAACCAGAAGACGAAACAGTGTTGGAGACTGCAAAGCTGGGCATGACGATGATAGTGGGGGCAACCTCGCCTCTCGAAATGCCCAACAAATAACAGGAGCAAGTATAAGGAACCAGTCACAAAGCACAAACAGGAGACGAAACAGTGTGGGAGACTGAGCAAAGGTGACAGTGGGGGTAACCTCGCTTCCCAATTAACTCGGATCANGGGCTTGCACATGATTTTGACAAGTATAGGTTTTCATGACATTATTTTTTCTTGCTGATACTATAAAGTGGAGTTTAAGTTTTGAATATATAGTATACATATGTAATTCCTCAGATATGATACAGTGTTAATAGTTAGTACAAAAATGTATGAAGTTTAGAAATGTCCATTGCATTAATGGACAGTTCCAGGCAGAACTAAACTGCTCGATTGAGTAAATTGAGAAACTCACGCCTGGCGCAAACGACTCCGAGTATGGCACAGTGGACACAGACAATCAATGTGTTTGTTTTTATGAAAATATCAATTTGGGGCACTTTCGGCCCCTTTTGCCGGGGCACATTTGGCCACCCCAAATGCAACTGTTATTGTGCCAAGTGACGTCTCTATTGATAACGTCACCCAATTGACCACAAAAATAATATTTTTACGCCGCAAAAATTAAGTATTTTTTTCTTTGTATTCACTGATTTGTTCTGGACTTATTTTTCAACAAAATTTTCATGGGGGAGACCCCCAGACCCCCTTACGGGAAGGGGAAGACCCACTCCCGTACCCTCCCCCTGCTCGCACTTCGGGGGGGGGGGCTGCCTTCGGCAACCCCATATCGGGCTTACACATGGTAAAGGGGCTAGCTACGCGCCTGATATGGAGGCACGGTAGTCTAATTGTAGGACGCCGGGCTCGTGACCGAAATGTTGCGGGTTCGAATTGCGACGCGGTAATGTGTTGTATCCTTGAAAGATACTTCACTCCTCTTGTTCCAGTCTTCTCAGCTGTAAATGAGTACGTGGTTGGGCAGTGCTGGAATTGTTGAGTGCTAACTGTGAGCGCCGAAATAGCAGCATCGGTTGTACGCTCCCCAGGCAGTTGAGAAAGGTATTGACTGGTTGGATAGGCTTTGGGGTGATCTACGAACTAGGTTGTGATAAAGCGGTATATAAGATCATCGAGCCACTGTCATGGCGTTTTCCCCTTTTAAGTAGTCAAACTGTCAGGATTTTGTTCCTGGAACAAAAACCGAGAAATATTCATATGCAGGCGTCACACATCGTGTATCTTCTCCGACCGCGAAGGAAATGAAAATAAAAAGTTCCGCAAAACATCTGCAGTACACTAACTCAAATGATAAATAGTAACCTTGTCATGATCTCCGTCCTTTTGATTGGAAGAATGTGCTTCCGCCTCTGTAGGGGGCGTGTTCTTGTTGGACGTCACTTCCTTTGAGGGTGTGGCGCTGATGTTCTTGTTCTTCACGACCGAGTCTTTCGTTTCAGTAGACGTGATTTGTCCAACTTTATTACATGCCTTTTTTTTCGTTATCTTCGTCATCTTTTTATTCTTGCATACAGTTCTTTTCCGGATGTTCCTTGCTGCAATGGTCCTCACGTGCTTGCAGATCAGAGGACAATCAAGGATGATTATGGCGATTACACCTGTGGCGATGAAGATGGTCCCTATCACCCCCATGCTGATTTTTGCTGGCTTGTTCTCGTAAACACTGATAAACTTGAGGTTGTATAGGGTCGTGTTCTTGGGATTCACTACCAGATCCTCTATATTATCTACAATGTGGTCATCCTGTATCTGATGCCCTGAAGTACACAATAACAGGAAATCTCAATAACATCATATGATGATGGGATGTTAATATAATATAGACTGTAAATACCATATCACACCATACCTATTAACATTTAATTATAATTTAACATATGCTTAATTGCTTAACAAATGATCCGTTAAAGCTTTTGTTATGCCAGCTAAATGGTTTTCAATTTAGAGACAGGGTTGTAAACACGCACATGAAATCAATAGCGGGGTTTTGATTCATATCAAATAGTACTCTTACACGAGGGTTAGGATATCCCTGTCTTTGGAACAGACTCATGTTTGATTATTTTTCTCACATACATACAAATGTACAAATTCCAGTCGAAAGTAACATCGATCTTATTCTTCCGGCAGGCCCCAAAGCCCTAGGGTTGAGACGGATGATTCCCCATTCACAACAATTGTATGACATCACGGAAACAATAAAATGACGTCACGTCGACAACCCATTATTATGACGTCATAGCGCGTGTCAGCTGTCTTTCCCTACACCGTGTAAGGTAGTTATATTTTCCCTAGCAACAACGGGATCACCCTGTGAAGTATGTGAGAATACAATGTCACATACAACAAATGCAATGAACCATATCACTAATAATGTGTGACGTCATCACTTACTTGAAAGTCGTCGCCGTAGGAACAACGGTCCTGGTTTGCTGCTTACGTAACGCTGGTAGAACAGATGGGGAGGTTTTCTGTGCAGGTAGTAGAGACGACAAAAGTTGGACAGTACACTAAACATGTTGACTGCCCAGCATTTTCTAGTATCCACCTTTGTCTACAATCATAAAGTAAACATCCTTGTTATGAATTGAAAAAAAATAACAAATGTTTACATCAGTTAACCAACAGCCACATTGGTTGGATGGGTCGAGTGGTTAACACTCCGGCCTTCCACGCAGGCGACCGGGATTCGATCCCCGAAGTCGTCGAATGCATGGATATTAGAGAAAGTGTTTTTTCTCCTGCCCTCGTAACTCCAACAACCCAGGTGGAGTATAAATTGGTTTGGGGTGAATGTTGCGGTATCTCTGTGCTGTAGCATTCAAGTGAGGTGGCACTATAAATGATGCCGTTGGAAGCACGTTTCCACTACAAACAGAACACGTTACATCTCCAGCACACACACAGGCATACACATATAGGGAGCTATTAGCCAAATGGCATATGACTAGTAGTTAGCGCCTGATGAGGCCGCCCCTGCAAAATCCTCAAAAATTGTATTGATTAATGTATATGCTAATTGTATTAATTGTATATCTATGTACTGTAAAGCGCTTTGCTTTAGAGTGGTTTATGTTAGCTAGATAGTGCGCTATAGCAAATGTTGTATATATTAGATTATATCATAATCACGTGGAGATCGATAATTTGTGATATTAATTTGATGTTGATCTCCTGTGAGCAGGGGTACGGTTCATGATGTTGACTTAATTAGAAATTAATCAGTACTCATCTATTTAATTAAATTCATAAATTAAGGGTTTTTTGGCACCAGCCCCCTGTTTGAACAGTAATTAAGACGATTTGGATTTTTACTTTTTGGCCCCTAGCATCGTCGATGAGTGCCAGAAGGACGAAACAGCTGTAAACCATTTTTTGACATACCTTATCTATTACCAAACTTTAAACGTTCAATCACGTGTATGTGTGTTAGGTTCATTTTTACAAACATCTGGTCAATATGACATCACTTCAGTACAATACTATCTACCAAATGAGGCAATTTCCTGGGTAATTTTCTCACGTAAAATATTCTTTAATGATAAAAAAAAAAAATCATCGAATATAATTTCTTTTTTTAGTGAATATGTGTTGTATGGAAGCCTCAAAATTATATTGAATTGAATAAAGAAATAATTATCGCTTTCAACTGGCCAAAATAACATACTCACGGTAGTAGTCTATTATTGATAAGTATTCCATAATGCATATTTATTGTTCTATACATACACTCGTACGGGAGTCATTTCTTTTGCGACATGTTTTAATCCTCCCATATGAAGTCTGACATTGCTTTGAAAAACGTTACATTGCACAGATAATGCATAATGAAACACTTGCAAGATAAAGGTAACTTTTTATTGTAAGGCCACATACCAAATAATATATATATGTATATATATACACGGTCAGGTGATTGCCGCGTCGATATTGACTACGTTGATTTCAAGCGTTCAATTGCCTTTGACTGCATTGGGGCTGTTTTTAATTTTCGTCTGAATGTCCATATGATGGGTGTTTGTTCTTCGGTACTCATGACGTTTTAAGATAGCCTTTCTTGGAATATTATAGTGAAAAAACTAACACAAATGTTTACAATATTTATTAAGGTTTTTGATTCGGATATGTCGACAAAACATTATTCAAAATAAAAAGAACTCCTGTTTCGGCAAATTTCTTAAAAAATACGTTTTCTTATTCTGAATTTTATGTAATAAAACTACGTGAATGTCTCCTATTTAGTAGTTAAAAACATTTGCCCCTTGGTACTGGACTTGGCCCTCGTGCAATATATCAAATGATCATATTCCAGCCCCTCGGGTCAAATATCTTAATTTCACCGCAGTTGAATATTCGCCTTTTTCGCCCTCCGCGATTGGGACGAACTTATCTTTTAGGTGAAATTTACTAAAAAATACAATGAACGTATGTATCAAATATGAAGGAAGAAATTAACACTAGGCGAATACGGATTTTATCGGCGTAGGGCGAAATTTTTTCTCGGCGAAATTTTCTCGGTATTCGGTAGACTTGGTATACCGGGAAAATTTCACTGTTAAAATTAGTTATATATAGCGTCTGGTGTTTTTGATATTCTCTGTCGGGATAATTTCGCTGTAATTATAGGAGGTCCCCTATTCATAACAATGGCATGACGTCACTTCAACAATACAATGACGTCACGTCAACAATCCATCAACAAATTGCCTGTATGTGTTTTGGGTCCATGCTTACCTTTATTTCACTTCAAATACTGTTAGATATGGGAGAAAAATAATCAATCGCTACTGGTTTGTGTAAGATAGAGAAATCTCAACCCTCGGACTAAGATTTTTTTGTCCAGAACTCGACAAGCCTCGTTCTGGACAAAAAATCTTAGTCCTCGGGTTGAGATTTCTCTATCTTACACAACCAGTAGCGATAGATTCTATTAATCTCTTTAAAGTGCTAGCTGCAAACAGAATTCCGTATATTTTTTAATTCATGTATGTCTTGGTTGCACTCAATATTATATATTAGATACTTACCTGCAGACAGACACTTTTACACATCTCAACGTCCCCAAGTACATTTTGTATGTCCATTGTCTTATACAGGGAGGGTATGATTGCCACTCGATAATCGTCTAGGTATTCAAAATAGTCATCCCCTGTACGACACATTTGTATACACTTAGTGAAACAGTTTAATGTATTTCATTGAACACTATTATCATAACGTTATGCGCGATGTTTTTTTTACATAAGCAACCTCGGTAATGTTAAAATTACTCGTGTCAAAAAAGTGAGAGAGAAAAAATGAAAAAAAATGGAACAAAAATTTGAAACAAAAATGAAAAGAAAAAAAGAAAACAAAAATAACAAACTGAAATAAAAGATAGAAAAATAAAAAGATAAAAAACATGCGTAACAATTGTGGGACAAGCCGTTTCAAAGGATTTCTATAAAACCGCACCAAATAGTGCAGCGATTTCAGAACAAGGTTAACTGAAGCAGAGACGACACCACACATGACGTCAGGGATATTTTGTAATTAATTATTCCGTCTTTTCGTATTGCAGAGTTATCTTCTCTCGGGAGCAGGTATTGATTGTTACGTCACTTGTTTGTGAAAGTAACGTCATCAATTTTTGAGAAAACGACGTAATTTTCTCGCACAAACCAATGACGTAACAATCAATCCCTGCTCCCAAGAGAAGATAACTCTGCAATACGCAAAGACGGAATATGCGTATTTATTGCAATTTTCTCAAACCTACTATGGACAATGCGAACAAACATAATGCTGAATATTACAAATCGTCAAACGAGCGTCGTGGAATATTACAAAAATATGACGTCATTCTCCTTTACGCAAGGTGCGACCGTGTATCATCGCACGTAACGTCTATATTAATCGAACCTAGTCTGCGTCAGTATATGAATATCATTTTTTATAAAGCATCGAATAGACTTCGACAATCGGATAATCCTTAAATTCAAACACACGTCTGCTTTTGTTTTTATGCATTACACTAAAACTGGTTCGAACGTATAGTGTTAAAATCCAGTAGTCGGGATTCGAACTACAATGTTTATGGAGGCCGTCTCATTCATGACGTACACCATTTTGTTACAAGGAAGGCATTGTTTGGACAAACACAATGGAGAGGATTAAATAATTTGAATGATGTGAACAGAAACCAAATGAAAGCTACATGTTTACATGGTCTACATTACCTATCTCTTTAGCACATTCTGTATCTGGTGAATCGTCTTCATTGATTGAATCTGCAAACAAAATAGAAAAAATATACAAAGATTCTTAATTGTTTGAAAGCAAACAAAATGAAAACAAATCTTCATCATCAATACACATGGCAAAAATCTGTCAAGTAATTTATTTAACAACTGAAATGTTATTATTCTTTTTTATCTTTTTTTACTTTCAAAGTATTTTTCACATTACAATAACATATACATTTCATTATACATAATGAATTCCACTTTCACACATACTTTCATACTAATTAATATTGCTCTTTTTGTAAGTGGTATTTTATTTTTCTGTAATGTTATATCAGAAAGGAAGGAAAATCAGATAGGAGAAACAAGAAAACAAAGAAATAGAGGAAATAAAGACAGGGAAATGGACAGAAAGAAGACAGAAAGACAGACAGACGGAAAGATAGACAGACAAGAGGAGATGTACCAGTATCAAACAAACCATTGTAAAGGATAGAAGTCTGGTAAGATATAGGTGTCAGTAGCTAAGTAATTAAGATAATACATTGTATGTTTCAATATTGTCTCTTTTTTCCAAATAAATTTAAATAAGATCAAGCATATAAACATATAATCGGCAAAATGTAGGTTTAGGAAATATCAATAAGCCTTTTCCATTTTTTCCACTCATTCTGGAAGTTAATGAGCTATATTTCGTCTTTACTATTTGCAATATATTTTTGAATACTATAATGTTCTTTAATTATTGTTAACCACTACATTTTACCTATCTTCTTGTATTAAATATACTTCTATTTTCTATTGAAATATTTTTGTTATACCAGATGGGCATTTTGAACTTACTGCTATGGGGCTCAGGGTCAACCATAGCTACAAACAAAATAGAAAATATATATAAAGATTCTTAATAATTTGAAAGCAAACAAAAATGAAACCAAATCTTCATCATCAATACACATGGCAAAAATCTTTCAAATAATTTATTTAACAACTGAAATGTTATTAAAAAGATTATATTAACGTTTCACTATAGTAAGAAAATCGAACACAGTCAACCATAGTCTCAACACACAACAAACACATTGGTACTATTTGTCGATATACCAAATGAAAACATCAAGATCAAAGGAGAAACCATCTTAGAAATCCAATGGTTTTTCTTTCGATGCAAATATCTTATCTACTCCCTTGAAACATGTGATGATAAAACTAAAGGCTTTCTAGGTACCATCTTGAAGTTTCCACGATATCCAGGGGTTACGCTCACTTTCGCTTTCTGCACCCCTGGAATATGTCATAGCAAAATTGAAGGCACGCGACTAGCTGTTTGATTGGTCTCAGGTGAAAAAACATCTGACCAGTCACTAGGCTGATACCTGGCATTTGACGATTACAGAGGAGCGATACCCGACTTCAAAGTCAGTCAGTTTTACCGTTACGCGACAGCGAGATCTTTTGATGTACATCAAAGGATCAAACTTGTCTCATCCACAAGGTGACGCATACCGAGCCTTCAATTTTGCTATGACACATTCCAGGGATGTAGATAGCGTAAGTGAGCGTAAACCCTGGATATGGAGGATGACGTAAACCCTGGATATCGAGGATGACGTAACCCCTGATATCGAGGATGCACCTTGTAGATGATACAAGGTAAACAAGCTGACCCTTTGATGCACATCCAAAGATTCGGACGGCAGCATTACGGTAACATTGATCTACTGTAATTTTCAAAGGGTAGGTACATGTATCAGTCTAAGAATCGGTCAATTTTTATACCGGAAACAAAACGATTAGCTAACTACGAGTCTTCGATTTAATCATAATATAATCCAAGGGGGTCGAGAAGATTTGACACCTTTCATATCAAAGATGAACAACTGATAAACATTTCCCTCAACGAATCAAAGGCAAAACTAGACGTTCCGGAAGTGCAAGCATTCCATGCACCACATGTGGTGCCTATTATTCCCATTCGTATTGTATTCCTCATATCATTAAAAAATAATTTCGTTATATTAATCGCATCATACTGGTAATTTGTGTTAACTGAAATTAGAGATTTTAAAAATCAAAATGAATAAATCGCCACAGATCCCTCATTAGGATGTAAGATTACCGAAACATCTCAAAGCGCTGTGTACGTAGGCGCTTGGCGTTATTTCTGGCAATGTGTTAGCCGGGGGTTGTGAGAATACAGCCCCTCCCTCTAAGGGGAGGGATCATTTTTATTTTCTAGAGCATGCTGATTTTTGATTTTAAGAGATTTTCAGTGCTTTGAGCACGCTATAGCATTCTAAATAAACCAGTGTTCAGTGTTAAACATAACTACCTTACTACATCTTAACTAACTTTGTAACGAATTTAATAATAATCCTGAATATATAATATCATAATTGAAATAGTAATTCACGTATGTGAAGAGTAGTAATTCATCATAATACAGGTAAAATAACCAAGTTTTCAACATTATATAATTACTCTGTATATATTAAAATGTTTAAGGAATAACCAGGATCAGTTTAAGAGTTATACAATATATACTGGGGAAAAAACTGAGTGCACTTTGCATAAATCTGCGAAGCAATAATAACAAGGTACAAAGTATAACATCTTAAATAACACTGGTTATTAAATAAGATAATAAATACATATAAAACCGCGTCTTGATAAAACACTTTATACATTTTAAACTAAAAAATCAACCTGTATTCTGCTTCATATACCCTGTACACGTTATTCATGTATGCACTGTTATATTGGAAATAGCCCTGTATACAATAAAATGTACAAAATAACCCAGTTCAGTAATAAGATCTAAAAACAAACCTGTATGCAATATTTAATCTGAAATAACCATGTATACAATATCTATTCTGAAATAACCCTGTATGCAATGTTCAATCTGTAATAACCCTGTATGCAATAATTAATATGAAATACCCATGTATACAATACTTAATCTGGAATAACCCTGTATGCAAAGTTTAATTTGTGGAAATCCACTTTTTTTGATGGACTCTTTTCCTTTAGAAATTATTGCGCTGCTGTATCAGCCAATCAAAAGCGACGTTCCAAACGGCGACGTCATTTTTTTACGTTATGGGCCGATAGCATAATTTTTTAAGCCAATGTTACAAGCAAAATTAAATTATTCAGAAATAACCACGCATACAATATTTTGATCTGAAATAGCCCTGTATGCAGTAATTAATATGAAATAACCCAGTATGCAATAATTAATATGAAATAACTATTTATACAATATTTAATCTGAAATAACCCTGTATTCAATAATTAATCTTAAATAACCATGTATGCAATATTCATTTAAGGATTAACTTGAATATATTTTTCATGTTATGGAGATTATAACACAAAAAAACGGAGTGTACTCTAAATAAACCGCGTTTTTTTGTGTTATAGCTCCATAACATGAAAAATATATTCAAATTAATCCTTACAATTTAATCTACTATACACAATCCCTGTGGAAATCCACTTTTATTCATGGACTCTTTTCTCTTAGAAATTATTGCGCTCCTGTATCAACCAATCAAAAGCAACGTTACAAATGGCGACGTCATTTTTTACGTTATGGACTGATAACATAACTTTTTAAGCCAATGAAAATGCTTGTTACAAGCAAGATTAAATTATTCTGAAATAGCCCTGTATGCAATGTTTAATCTGCAATAACACTGGTTGCAATTACTAATATGAAATAACCACGCTTACAATATTTTGATCTGAAATAACCCTGTATGCAGTAATTAATATGAAATAACCCTGTATGCAGTAATTAATATGAAATAACCCTGTATGCAGTAATTAATATGAAATAACCCTGTATGCGATGTTTAATCTGTAATAATTAACTTAAAATAAATCTGTATCCATTATAACATTTACGTTTATCGTCAACACATTATACATCTTAAATAACCCCGTACAGAGTAAATGTATGAAATCTAAATAACCCTGTATACCGTTGTATATATAAAACAACCCTTTGTACAATATAAAGTATAAAATATCTCTGATTTATATCTGGAGTATTCATTTATACAATATCAATTAAAATAGCAATTCTCAAAAAGAAATGATTTCAAAAATCAAAAGTGGTGTACATTAGATCGTTTTAGAACATTATTGCATAACTTACCCTGTGGGCAGTTCTTGAAATGATAGGATGTGCCATTAAAGGAATCCTCTATCCGGTATTCACGAGTACCAGAGTCCACGAACAGGAAGAAACACGTATCACTATCCTGATATACCGAGCATCCCTCCTTACCACCCATCGCCAAAGCGTAACACAGTTCTTCGCACGTAGATAAGGATGTCGGTAGGTTGTAAGTCATCTCGGTTTTCCCCACGATCTCTAGCGTGATGTTGACATGTAGAGTGTACTGACATTCGATTTCTAAAGACAACAAACACCGTTGTTAAATAGTTGTGGGTTAAGTAGTTATTTAGGGATCACTATCCCACTGCACTGTGGTTTTTCGTATATAATGTAACCTGCCATTAATTTAGTTTTGGATTTGTCACTTCCGTTAAACAGGAAGCTCATTCAGTTAGGGAGAACATACAACAATCTCAAACCAGGGTTGAATCCATTCTAGTTGTGCTGAATGTGTTTCAATAAGAAGATTGTTGTAGATTTGGTTTTTTTTTTTTCATTTCATTTTTATCATTTTTCATAGGATTGTATGGTTTTCATTTCAAAAATGATTTATCTAAACTATTGTTATGTCGAAAAATCTGTTTCCGATGCGGTTGTACATTAGTGTAAAATGACATATCAAAGGTATTTGCTCAAAAGCTAAGTAACAATACATGATAAATGATTAAGTTGCGTGAGTCTTTTGATTTTAATGGTTGAAAGTATTTATTATGGTATTATTAACAAGTAGGGGGCCCTTCATAAATCCGTTTTTCTCAATGTTTTGGACCCAAGAGAGAGAAATTTATAAGAATTATAGTCCGGGCTTCATACACCGAAAGGTTCAAGTTTATTTTAAGTATTTAAGTATTGCTCATTATCGTAAGGGCAAAAATAAGACTAACAATATTGTTCAGCAAATCATGGTCTTTATACGATTAACTTAGTCGTCGTTACGTGCACAAACAACGTTGTTAGAAACAGTGATTATGAGTCAGGGTTAGAAGAAATGTAACTTCAAAGAAAAACAGACGATGTTTCTATCATCGATGAGTCTAAAAGTTTTATACATTTCATTCAGCAATGACCACTGTTTTAGCAAATGTTGTTATGGTCCTATAAACAGACAATGCTATTGATGACAAACTTAATAAAGCCCGGTAGGATCATAAGAATATTTGCTAAAATATTCATAATTTATATTTACATTTTGATAGAGTAGTTATGCTTCATTTAGTTATTTCGAAAAATTGATGACGTCACAATAGAGATGGATGACGTTACAATAGCAAATGTTGTTATAGTCTCATAACAACATTTGCCTTTGCAATGCATTACAATGGAAGGATGCAGAGCAAATGTAAATATTGTATTGTATGTATGATTATAAGATGTGTTTCATAACTTAGACTTGCAGCGTACAGCAGTGCTTTACCTGTTCAGACATGGACCAGTCCCTGTGGATACAGTGGGACAAGGATCTTTAAGAACGTTCTCAGTAAAAAGATATATAAATAATTTTCCCTTACCTTTTTCACACACGAAGCAGCCATTGTGGATACAGTGAGACAAGGACCCTTAAGAACGTTCTCAGTATAAAGATATATAAATGATTTTCCCGTACCTTTTTCACACACGAAGCAGTCATCGTGGATACAATGAGACAAGGATCTTTAAGAACGTTCTCAGTATAAAGATATATAAATGAATTTCCCGTACCATTTTCACTCTCGAAGCAGTCATTGTGGATACAGTGAGACAAGGACCCTTCAGAACGTTCTCAGTATAAAGATATATAAAATTAATTTCCTGTACCTTTTTGACACACGAAGCAGTCATTGTGGATACAGTGAGACAAGGACCCTTAAGAACGTTCTCAGTATAAAGATATATAAAATTAATGTTCCGTACCTTTTTGACACACGAAGCAGTCATTGTGGATACAGTGAGACAATGACCCTTAAGAACGTTCTCAGTATAAAGATATATAAAATTAATGTTCCGTACCTTTTTGACACACGAAGCAGTCATTGTGGAGACAGTGAGACAAGGACCCTTAAGAACGTTCTCAGTATAAAGATATATAAATGAATTTCCTGTACCTTTTTCACTCACGAAGCAGTCATTGTGGATACAGTGAGACAAGGACCCTTAAGAACGTTCTCAGTTTAAAGATATATAAATGATTTTCCCGTACTTTTTTGACAAACGAAGCAGTCATTGTGGATACAGTGAGACAAGGATCTTTAAGAATGTTCTCAGTATAAAGATATATAAATGATTTTCCCGTACCCTTTTCACACACGAAGCAGTCATTGTTGATACAGTGAAGCAAGGATCTTTAAGAACGTTCTCAGTATAAAGATATATACATGATTTTCCCGTACCTTTTTCACTCACGAAGCAGTCATTGTGGATACAGTGAGACAAGGATCTTTAAGAACGTTCTCAGTATAAAGATATATAAATGATTTTCCCGTACCTTTTTCACTCACGAAGCAGTCATTGTGGATACAGTGAAGCAAGGATCTTTCAGAACGTTCTCAGTATAAAGATATATAAATTATTTCCTAGTACCTTTTTCACACACGAAGCTGTATCCATGGCTACAGTGAGACAATGACCCTTAAGAACGTTCTCATCTCAGTATAAAGATATACAAATAATTTCCCCGTACCTTTTTCACATACGAAGCTGTATTTGTTGCTACAGTTGGCAGTAGACCATTTTAGATTCTTCATGACGACACATCTATCGTTCACACAGTTGGCCGGGAAACCTGATTTCCAATTGCTCCATCCTACAGATTCACACCCTCCTTGCCAGAAATGGTGGACTTTGGAACAGTTTTCAATTTCTCTGTTATGGAGTCCAATCCAATATTCGCCATTTTTACTGTCAAAGAAAACATTTCTAAACTGACCGATTTCAAAGTATGTATAATGTAAATATGGTACAGTGTCAATTGTAACGGACGCTTCAAAATGTCATACCGAATTGGTGTAAGCTGTTAGAAGGCTTTTGCATTCCGTCTATGGATGAAAGAAGAGTCTAGGTGAAAGATGCATTTAATGAAGGGTATCATGAAGGGTTTACATGTGCTTCCTAAACTCGTATAATGGAAACAGCCAGGGATTTTACATACAATTACTAAGTGAAAAGAAAGAAAAATTAAATGTAAAAAAAAATGCTACCGGGATTGGAGACGGGGTCCGGCCCCATCACCGGGGACTTAATCCATGTGCCATAGGCTTGAATCTAATACATTTACACAGCATCACTGCTTAGAGACACAAGTTTGGTAATGCCGTGGCGTCGATGTACTGCAACTATAAATATTTCGGTAGAAACCATTGTTTTAACACAGACGTTCTGATTATGATTATTGCGAAAGAAAGAAACACTAAATGATTATTTTTGTTTATTGTTTTGAACTTGCTTTGCAAAAAAAGTCAAAGAGTTCATAGAATTGAAAAGGGAAAGAAAGAACTTTCTGCAATTTACATCCCTTATATACAAATTCACTTAAGAAAGATTGCTGGTATATAGGATGGGTATGATTTTTACACATGTATATTGATACATTACTGTTTACTATTCACTAGTGAGTAATTTTAGCATAAATACAGCCCTGAATGCTTCAACGAATGTTCAATAATCGTATTATTCGTTTTCTGATTAGAACGTTTGATTGTATAATTTCATAAAACGAAAATAAACGAATGAACTAATGAGAATCCAGAACACAATCAGCAGCTATGGTGGGAGCGAATTAAATATTTATGTAGAAAATACACAATTTAATTCATCGGAAAACAGTCATTCACCCAATAATAATTTCAAAGGCCATTTTCTGAAACCTACCATAGCATGGATCATGCTATTGGGTTGGATAATGTATTATTTACTGAGTAACAATAGTTTGATATTCCATCACATGTCATAAAAGTTCCATGTTGTCAAAACCGTTTTAATCAATAAAAAAGACTTGAACATGTTAATAGAAAAATAACACATGCATGACGGCAATATATAGTATGCGACGGATTTTATGGTTCTCTTTAGAATTGGACTAGATAATAATCGGTATTTTGATGTATAGACTGATAACCAAAGCGTATTCTGAATACACTGCGCAGTTCAGCCAGAGCTTACAACAAGCTCATTTCCATGTACTCTCTCAAAAAATGACGCTAATGAGGCCCTGTATTAAATATCTTCGCTACTCGTCATGATATATCTATGTCATCTGTTTCAAAAATCGAGTACAATGCTCTTATATCATCTTATTTCAAAAGACATGGTAATAGAAGGTTATTCAAGTGCGCTGGATGACTACCTTAGTGGGGAAAGTAGTACTATGTGTATGAAATCATTCAAACAATAAAAAACGATATTAATTTTATTGTAATACGAATTCAGGGTTGTAAGCAATGCATTCGTATTAATAATGACAACTTCATACAAAAGAGTTCTTCAAGAAACAGATCAATACGTGTATCGATGTTTGTCCAATATTTAACCTATTGTTTAGACACCATTGCGTTTATCATCCTTTGTTGTGGCAGGTGGCAGTTGTCTATGTTTCTATGTTGAGATCTCCATTTAAAATAATCACTGGAAGTACAAATATATAAGGCAAAACAAAAAACAAAAACCTGAATGCAAAATCATCATCGATAAAATCCGCATGTAAATGAATGCAGCACGTAAAACAGAGTAAACATTTTTCTGAGCATCAACAAACAGGGAACAAGGTGCCTTAAACCTTTCGCTAGAGGATAATTTATACTTAAAAAGGGGTTTCATCTTAACAGGGCCATAACACAATCCAGCTACAAGGCTATGGTCTCCTTGTAGGACAGATAGTCCATTAGGTGATTCAGTCGCCGTGTTATGTCCAATATTCGCTAAAATTTCAGGGGAAAAGATAAACATGTCCAGGTTCATTTTAAATGCCTGACATACAACACATCACCAAGATCAATAAGTAAATCTATTGTTTACATATTTATTCATCACCTTTTTATTTTTATTTTAGATCCAAATCACGAACTTATTTGCCAATCCCTTGTGAGGAAATTAATTTCAACCTTTGCGTCCAAGTCATATCCAGGTCAGTAAAGCAACATAGAAATCGCACAGCGAGGAAAATCTGTTCAATAATCGTCTAGAACAGTTAGTTATTCCTATAAACCAGTTAATAATGTATGACTATTTTGAATAGTTCAATTTCTGCCATGGGTCTGAAAATCAACGTTGTTTGCTGTGGTGTCGCTAAGTACACAGAACAAAAGCGCAGTTACACAGCGAAACACATTCAATGCTTTTTCTATTTTGCGAGAAAGACATTGTTAGGAAAAATAGAGTTCATAATTACTCTGTTATTGATCAAGTAAGATAATCATTTCTTGACTCTGTGGAAAAAATGTTCTTAAAATGTCCCATTGTGAACGTTTCTGTATTTTCAGTTAGAGTTCAAAATGTGATGTAATATATTTGATTGCTCGATTATGCTAATTTCGGTCAGAACTGTCGATTGACATTTATAGTTGTTTACTATAGATCTGATCCAGAGTCGTTGGATTTTTTTATTTATTTCTTTTCATATTTATGTTGTTCATAGCTCTTTCTTTTGTATAAGATTTATTATGGCTGTTTCGTCATTGCAACATTCAAGAAATTCTATTTAGAATCACATACATATAGGCAATAAATTAAAGTTCTTGTGAGTTATTATGGCAACAAACATATATAAGAAAACAATAAAACATGGCAATATCATATGTAAAAGGAGTAATCACAGGTAAATTATTCATAAACAGCTTTAAATCCTATCACAATGAAAGACAAAAGTATTATATCCGAGGTTAATTGGGCATTTCCTATCTACAAAAGACTCCCTTATGTTTGAACGAAACACACACACATACACAGGTGATTGCGCCTTTAACATTTGTTAATAGAAGCTGCATCATACAGCTGTGTTGTCCTTCTATGAGTCATTGGTATTGCTAGGGACCAAAATGATGGAAACTCCAAACAGGACTAAGCTACTGTAGAAACAGAAGGGGTGTGCATTAAACCCCTGATTTATTTATGTCAAAGATTTAGAAGAGTACTGTTTAAACTTACATTAAATTAAATTTTTGTGTGGATATGAAATTAAAATTAAAGAAGCATGAAGTGCGATAACAGAAGGATTTTTAATTCCAAATAATAACAAAAGAACAAGAGGGCACAGTCCTGACACCTATAAAACAAAGGAGTAGACTAAACTTGAGGAAATATTCTTTCAGTGAGCGTATTGTTAATCACTGGAACTCCCTTCCAGATGCCGTGGTTACGTCACCAACAGTCAAAACATTTGAATCCCGATTGAATAAACACTGGGGACAACCTGAATGTTTTTTTAACCACGAGATAGATAACAATGAACTTATTCATATTCGGGACGTCATCACATAAACTGATGTTAAACTTTGTGATCTGGATGGATATATAGGCATTATGCCTGCGTCCATTATTGTTATTATTATTATTATATTTATAAGTATTAAGAATAAGATACTCAGGACAGGAGACAGAATTAAAATAGATCACTTGAATATCATACAAGCTACTTGGGACTAAGGATTAAATCAATATCAAGTGGAATATATATGTATACAATGCTTAGTTAGCACGGAGGAAAATTTGACAGAATGTACACAAAAACAGTATGAATTTAAACATGGTACTGAAATCAATTAGAACTCAGGACCTTGCCTAATGCTATCTCTACTGTATACAGTCATAGCAGTCTCTATCGAACAGGATTCCTGCATCTGGCGAGATCTCAAAATTTGTTTAGGCTATCTCCCTTCCAAATCCTTTTAATTGTTATAAAGTTTTCATTCGATCAGCTTTCAAAAATAGGTCCATCCTTTACCTATATCTGAAGAAGGACTCGCCTGGTAGGACACCATAGTCATATTTGATTGTATACTGCTGGTTTGTAATCACATATATTCCGTCTTTGCGTATTGCAGGGTTATCTTCTCTTGGGAGCAGGTATTGATTGTTACGTCATTGGTCTGTGTGAGAAAATTACGTCGTTTTCTCAAAAATTGATGACGTTTCTCTCACAAACAAGTGACGTAACACGGAATATGGTTGAAAGTAACACTTAGAGGTTATTGCGCCTATAATGTATGGCAATAGATACAGTATGGCACAAACCTATTACACTGCACCATAGAAGTATTTCATCCCGCTAGGAATCATCGCTGATGCTAGAGGACAAAAAGGTTGAAATTCAAATTCGATTTATGTGTTTGTGTGAATATGTGAGTGTTTTGTCTTTTAATATGAGTGACAAATATTGACATTATGGATGTGTTTAATCTTGAAACGAAATTGAGGTAATAATATATACATAATTACATACCGGTATGAATGAGTGGTTACTTGTTGATGATGATGAAGACGATAGTCTATTGTGTGAAACGTATTGATGTACTGTTAATGATGATGATGATGCTGTTTATTGTGTAAAATCTATAGATGTACTGTTAATGATAATGAGGATGATGATGATGAAGACGATAGTCTATTGTGTGAAACGTATTGATGTACTATTAATGATGATGAAGATGATTGTTTATTCTGTTCGATATGCATTGTTAATTATATTTTCATAATGACGATTGATAATGATGACGATAACGAGGAGGGTTGATGATTGTTAATGTGTGAGAGGTATTAATGCAATGATGATGATGATGATTATGATGATGATTGTCTATTACGTGAAATGTATTGATGTTCTGGTGATGATGATGATGATGATGATGATTGTGCGAGATATGTATTGATGCATTGGTAATTATATTTTCATAATGATGATGATGAGGATGCTGATTAGTTATGGCTGCGGTGTATTGATGCAATGATGATGATACGTGTACACATCCATATACAGTATTTTATGCGTGAAAGAGATTGTGTGTGCGGATCTTTATGTAATGTAAAATAAAAGAATTATAAAAAAAAATCAAATTCGTTTAATCAATTGAAACAGAAAACATGATAACAAACGCCAATTGTTTGTTAAATTTTGTTTGTTATTTGCGCGGTTACGTTGAACCTCAAGCCTTACAATACCTCATATTTTCCTTGTATGATTTACATTGCAGCACAACAAAGCAGAATTAGTATGTGTTAACTTACAGCGACCTGTCCCATGGAGGGTCCTTGTCCAGCTTCAAAAGGAGGTCCATCTTTTCTTTGCTGTCCAGCCGGAGAAGATGTCCTGTTTGGCCTTGGCAATATATCTTTGCGTCATTCCATGTGGCATTTGCTTCGACGATAATGAACTGTTTATCTTTTGGTTTTACTGCGTGTGAAAAGAAGGTTTCTACGTGATATGAGGCAAACATTTAATATCAACAATGCAGACAAAAGAATTTGTTAAATTTTCGAGTCAATCCGCGCCTTTTGCAAGACAGACACATGAATTGTTTAGCGTGTTTGTGTTTATTGAGCTATGGTCATTTAAGGACGTGTCAGATTTTAGTGGTGGAGGAAAGCCGGAGTTCCCGGAGAAAAACCACCGACCTGCGGTCAGTACCTGGCACTGCCCCAAGTAAGTGAATTAATAGAAAGAATGTAAATTAAAGTGGCAAATAAATCTAAAATCGAAGTTGCAAGCAGAACTTAAAAACACACACCGTCTCTGCACGTCAAAATGGCGGACGGGGTCACTCTCACCCAACGAGGTAATAAACAGAGATAGGAAATATGGGATAATGTGACAGTAACTGAATAAGAAATGCCAATTTATGTGTTGTGAATATGATTTTTTTTAGAGTTTAAGATAATAGATGAAAAACTTCACGAGAACCCCACTAGAAGTTTGTACCGACAATGTCGTTTACCAAAACAACTCGTCACAGAAAATTTCGTCCACCAAAAAATCCATCCCAAAACTGAATGACCGCTAAAATCAATCGAAAAAAATGAGAGGATAAATGTTTTCATAGTTGATAAAAAAAGGAACATTTGAACGGGTTTATTGGCGAGTTTATACAGAGTAGAGAATAGGCGTGTTTTGCAGGGTCACAACAGCAGATGCCACAACAGGACCATGAACGATTTCGTCCACAAAATACGTCGTCACGAAAAATGATTTTCTCTATATGTTTATACATAAAAACATGTTATTTAAAGGGAATTTATCAAGTTATTTATATGTTAAGTTAAGACATAAAGGTTTTACCTGCAGCAGATGATTGAAGATGCCATAATGTCAGAAAAAGCACAAATAGCACACGAAAATCCATGGTTAATGTCATAAACCTTTGATATGACGGTGTAGCAGAGAGCACCATAGAACACGACCGCCGGTATCCAATCATACCTGATAACGTCATGGTTCACACAGGTAATGTTAATATTAAAGCTTAATGTACATGTACTGAGTACTTCAAACGGATCGATGATCCTTACACTGTATATTGTGAAAAATACAACTCTGCATGATCGATCTATTGTATCTGATCTGAAGGCAGATTGCATAACAAGATTTATGACAAAAAAACATTTGAGATCCTCATTCCGTGCAGTGTTCAGCAATGAAACTAATTTTCGGAATGGAATATAGCACTTCATACGATGCATATCAGTAAATCGTGAACAGAACTAATTTATTAATGACGACAACCCCCATTAACTTTTACCATAAAACAATAATGAACAGAGATCCTTGAGAATTGGTTTTAATATGTTATTGAAACATAGCACAGACCACAGTCTGTACAGTGGCTAAACAAATAAGTAAACGTCATATTGTCAAGGTGCTGATCACAGCATACTGTATGGTAAGTTTGACATTGGCATCAGTTGGGAAATTGAAAAAAAAATACCAGGTAGAAACGGACGAATACTTGCTGTACCGTCAGTTTGCAATATCAAAAGTACATATGTTCGTGTGTATTTCCACGTGTGTAAAACGTGTGTTTGAATGTTTGCGAGATTTTGTTTATTTCAGTTCTTTATTGTTTTATTTTCGTTTGTTTTTATCTTTATTTGACAATGCGCATCAAATATTTTATGACCTTCGACTTTCAATTTAGGTAAGATAATCGTTGCTGGGAACTGTTCCCCTTAATCACCAAATGCGGAATCATGCCATCTCCCACCGTAGCTAATTAGATGCGCTGAATATGGCTGGCTGACTTTATTGAAAATCGATACACTCACTGTTCATATGTGTACAAACAATATTGCTTATCAATACGAAATACCACGATATCAAATATCCATTTGATTTCAAACCAGATGTCATTAAATTAAATGTGCTGCATAATATTGTGTTACATTGGATATCGTAATCTAAACCTGGAATTTAACAGTACCACACAAACATGATTCGTTGGATCAATAATTATAACGCACCTGTATTTCGTATACACGGGTCATTTTGACGCTGTTTTATTTTTTCATACTTCAGTGTAAAATTGTATATTGAAAGGGTATATTTCAATTTATGATCATATACTAATTTTGCACGGTCAACTGCATATCATTGAATATAACACAGTTTATTGATAACGATGCAGTCATTTTTTAAATTCATATTTCAGTAATTTTAGTCCTGAAAATAGAAACGTATTCTCGAGGTGCTGTACGGACTCTTTCCTTTATATTCCTGTTTGTCAGCCTTCACATTCCTGTTTGTCAGTCTTTATCTTTCTGTTTGTCAGCCTTTACATTTCTGTTTGTAAGCCTTTACATTTCTGTTTGTCAGCCTTAACATTCCTGTTTGTCAGCCTTTACTTTTTTGTCTGTCAGCCTTTACATTTCTGTTTGTCAGCCTTCACATTTCTGCTTGTCAGCCTTTACATTTCTGTTTGTCAGCTTTTACATTCCTGTTTGTCAGTCATTACATTTCTGTTTGTCAGCCTTCATATTCCTGTTTGTCAGCCTTAACATTTCTGTTTGTCAGCCTTTACATTTCTGTTTGTAAGCCTTAATATTTCTGTTTGTCAGTCTTAACATTTCTGTTTGTCAGCCTTTACATTCCTGTTTGTCAGCCGTTACTTTTCTGTTTGTCAGCCTTTACATTTTTGCTTGTCTGTTTTTACATTCCTGTTTGTCAGCCTTTACATTATTGTTTCTCAACCTTTACATTCATGTTTGTCAGCCTTACATTCCTGTTTATCAGCCTTTACATTCCTGTTTGTCAGCCTTCACATTCCTGTTTGTCAGCCTTCACATTCCTGTTCGTCAACCTTTACATTTCTGTTTGTCAGCCTTCACATTCCTGTTTGTCAGCATTTACATACCTGTTTGTCAGCCTTTACATTCCTGTTTATAAGCCTTTACATTTCTGTTTGTCAGCCTTTACATTCCTGTTTGTCAGCCTTTACATTTCTGTTTGTCAGCCTTTACATTTCTGTTTGTAAGCCTTCACATTTTTGTTTGTCATCCTTTACATTCCTGTTTGTCAGCCTTTACATTTCTGTTTGTCAGCCTTTACATTTTTGCTTGTAAGTTTTTACATTCCTGTTTGTCAGCCTTTACATTCATGTTTGTTAGCCTTTACATTCCTGTTTATCAGCCTTTACGTTCCTGTTTTAAAGCATTTACATTCCTGTTTGTCAGTCTTTACTTTCCTGTTTGTCAGCCTTAGCATTCCTGTTTGTCAGCCTTTATGTTCCTGTTTGAAAGCATTTACATTCCTGTTTGTCAGTCTTTACTTTCCTGTTTGTCAGCCTTAGCATTCCTGTTTGTCAGCCTTTACATACCTGTTTGTCAGGTTTTACATACCTGTTTGTCAGTCTTTACATACCTGTTTGTCAGGTTTTACATACCTGTTTGTCAGCCTTTACAATCCTGTTTGTCACCTTTTACATTTCTGTTTGTCAGCCTTTATGTTCCTGTTTGAAAGCGTTTACATTCCTGTTTGTCAGGTTTTACATACCTGTTTGTCAGGTTTTACATTCATGTTTGTCAGCCTTTACATTCATGTTTGTCAGCCTTTACATTTTTGCTTGTAAGTTTTTACATTCCTGTTTGTCAGCCTTCAAATTACTATTTTACAGCCTTCACATTCTTGTTTGTCAGCCTTTACATTCATGTTTGTTAGCCCTTACATTCCTGTTTATCAGCCTTTACGTTCCTGTTTTAAAGCATTTACATTCCTGTGTGTCAGTCTTTACTTTCCTGTTTGTCAGCCTTAGCATTCCTGTTTGTCTGCCTTTACATTCTTGTTAGTCAACATTCACATTCCTGTTTGTCAGCCTTCAAATTACTATTTGACAGCCTTCACATTCTTGTTTGTCAGCCTTTACATTTCTGTATGTCAACCATTACATTACATTGTGTCCACCTTCACGCTCCTGTTTCTCAACCTTTACATATCTGTTTGTCAGCCTTTACATTCCTGTTTGTTAGTATTTACATTCCTGTTTGTTAGTATTTACATTTCTGTATGTCAGCCTTTACATTTCAGTTTGTCAGCCTTTACATTTCTGTCTGTCAGCCTTTAAATTTCAGTTGATCAGCCTTTACATTTCTGTTTGTCAGCCTTTACATTTCTGTTTGTCAGCCTTTACATTTCTGTCTGTCAGCCTTTAAATTTCAGTTGATCAGCCTTTACATCTCTGTTTGTCAGCCTTTATGTTCTTGTTTGACAGCCTTTACATACCTGTTTGTCAGGTTTTACATTCCTGTTTGTCAGCCTTTACATTCCTGTTTGTCAGCCTTTACATTTCTGTTTGTCAGCCTTTACATTTCTGTCTGTCAGCCTTTAAATTTCAGTTGATCAGCCTTTACATTTCTGTTTGTCAGCCTTTATGTTCTTGTTTGACAGCCTTTACATACCTGTTTGTCAGGTTTTACATTCCTGTTTGTCAGCCTTTACATTCCTGTTTGTCAGCCTTTACATTTCTGTTTGTCAGCCTTCACTTTCCTGTGTTTCAGCCTTTATAGTAATGTTTGTCAACCTTCACGTTCCTGTTTCTCACCCTTTACATTTCTGTTTTTCAGCCTTGACATTCCTGATTTTCAGCCTTAACATTACTGTTTATCAGCCTTTACATTTCTGTTTGTCAACCTTTACATTTCTGTTTGTCAACCTTCACGTTCACGTTTGTCAACCTTTACATTCCTATTCTTCAATTATTACATTTCTGTTTGTCAGATTTCATATTTCTGTTTGTCAGCCTTTACATTTCTGTTTGTCAGCCTTTATGTTCCTGTTTGACAGCCTTTGCATTCCTGTTTGTCAGCCTTCACATTCCTGTTTGTCAGCCTTCACATTCCTGTTTTTTAGCCTTTACATTCCTGTTTATCAGCCATTACATTTCTGTTTGTCAGCCTTTATATTTCTGTTTATCAACCTAAGCATTCCTGTTTGTCAGCCTTTGCATTCCTGTTTGTCAGTCTTTACATTCTGATTGTCAGCCTATACAATACTGATTGTCAGCCTTTACGTTCCTATTTGTTTGCCTTCCTGTCCCTGTTTGTCAGCCTTTTCGTTCCTGTTTGTCAGCCTTTACATTTCTGTTTGTCAGCCTTTACATTCCTGTTTGTCACCTTTTACATACCTGTTTGTCAGGTTTTACATTCCTGTTTGTCAGCCCTTGCATTCCTGTTTGTCAGGTTTTACATACCTGTTTGTCAGTCTTTACATACCTGTTTGTCAGGTTTTACATTCCTGTTTGTCAGCCTTTACATTCCTGTTTGTCAGGTTTTACATACCTGTTTGTCAGCCTTTACATACCTGTTTGTCAGGTTTTACATTCCTGTTTGTCAGCCTTTACATTCCTGTTTGTCAGCCTTTATATTCCTGATTGTCATCCTTTACATACCTGTTTGTCAGGTTTTACATACCTGTTTGTCAGGTTTTACATACCTGTTTGTCAGCTTTCACATTCCTGTTTATCAGCCTTAACATTACTGTTTGTCAGCTTTTACATTACTGTTTGTCAACCTGTACATCCCTGTTTTTCAACTATTACATTTCTATTTGTCAGCGTTCATGTTTCTGTTTGTCAGCCTTAACATTCCTGTTTGTCAGGATTTACATTCCAGTTTGTCAGCCTTCATATTACTATCTCTCAGCCTTGACATTTCTAATAAACAGCCTTCATATTTCTGTTTGTCAGCCTTTACATTTCTGTTTGTCAGCCTTTACAATCCTGTTTGTCACCTTTTACATTTCTGTTTGTCAACCATTACATTACATTTTGTCAGCATTCACATTCTTGTTTGTCAGCCTTTACGTTCCTGTTTTTCAGCCTTCACGTCCCTGTTTGTCAGCTTTACGTTCCTGTTTGTCAGCCTTTACATTCCTTTTT